AAAATTAATTATTCAGCCGACCATCATCTACTTAGCACTTTTTTTAGTCAATTAGTTCAATAAAATTATCTGTAGCAGTTACTACAAAAACTTAAGCTTTCAACTTCTACTGCTAGTACGACCACCCGAGAAAAAAAAACAAAATCTAATGGGGGAGCATGTCGCCAACTGGTGAATGCCGCGCATTAGCAAATGATATTCGCGAGAAAGTAAACGACCACTCGGGCGGTCCACCACCTAGCTGTGGCAAACATAAATAGTGTAGACGGTGGATACTAGTACTGAAGTTATGCAGCTCAGGACTAAGTTGGCGCAGTTGCACCTGCAAACTAAACTTGTTTCAAACTCCAATATTCCCACTAAAGCTAGCTGCCTAGAAAAAGGTCAACTCAAAATCACACACATCCAATAAATTATTCTTTCTTCAAAAGATAAAAATCAATTATAACGAACCATGTCATCAATGAATGAAAGGCCGTTCATGCTAGCAGCAAAAGACCGAGAAAGAGCGAGCACCAGAGGATGTCAAGCCATCACCGACGCAGCACTTTTCCACTGAACAGCAGCAACAGCAGCATTTGTGCAGCCAGCTGAACTCCGATTCCAGACCACGTTATCCATCCGCATCACCACTGCTCATCAACAACAACACCGAACGACTGAGCTTTTCAGTCTCTGCACCATTCTAGAAGGATTTACTTAGTGAAAAGGAAATGAAAAACGATAAAATGTTGCGAAAACCGCACTCCGTTTTATAGCATTTTCTTCTACTTTTACAAATTTGTGCAGACCAGTAAGCAGTGCTGGTTGGAGGAACTAAAATGCTGATAGATTAAGAAGTCTTACTGCTCTGGGATTCGTTTTCTATTTTTTTCTCTTATTATTATGATTATTGAATTGTCATCATTGCTGCCATTATTATTATTATTATTATTATTATTATTATTATTATTGTTATTGTTATTATTATTATTATTATTACTATTATTACTATTATCATTGCTATTATTATTATTATCACCATCATTATTATTACTAATACTATTACCATTGTTATTATATTGCAAGTATTATGCTGTCACAAACACAGTTCCTCTTCACTGCAATTGCTTTGCTTTTGTTTTTTAACCTTTTTGTTATAAGATTCACCAAGTTTTCCGCTACATTCCACTGTAAATTGTTGCCAACAATTAATGCCGCGATGCATAGGCAGATTCGGGACGACTTCCTAAGGGAGGGGGAAGGAGCGACCGGGGATGCGGGAGAGAATTTTTCCCAGTTTTAACTTTAGACCCAGGGTTTATAGCACTGGCACCTGTGCCGCTGGGGAAGGGGCGGTGGAGGCGAAAGGTGCATGAATCCATCTAAGCCGCGACCAACATTAGACCTAAACCGCTGTCCAATTCAATCAGACGGGCTACCTCAACGCACTCTTCCCTCAGATAAATTATATGTTCAAACAATTCCAAGAAATGCGACCAGCTAATAAATCGGCTTCTTTATTGCTTATATACGCACAATATTTGGTAAAAAAAAAAATGCATCCATAAAAACCTGCAGAAAATAAGAAAACTCAAAACCCTCCTCTCTTTCACACTCTATGGAGACTTGCAAGCGTTTAAAAATTGCCCAGATGACAGTACCTGCCAATAGTAATACCTGCTGGCAAGGCCTGTTCAACGTCCTCCTTTCGGCAGTTGATTGGAACCAGGCTGAAACCGTCATGGTTTTAATCCCCTGATACATGAGAGTACCAGTTCACCAGAAAGACAAATAAGCGAATCGTAAAGAAAATGGTTTTTCTGCCAGCAGGGCCAAATCTTAGATCTTGAGCATAGCAGCAACGTCCTTTCCCAATAATCCATGCCCAAAAAAGCACAAGGTCGGACCCTGTTCCAAAACTACAGCGAAAAACAAAACTGATTACAGAGCGCACAACAAATCTCACACGAAACCGGCTTTAAGACCGGTTAAAAACAATTCCGGACGCAGCTGAGACATACTTTCCCTGAGTTCGGACACCTCCTACACGGTACGCAAAAGAACCAAGCACACACACATATACACACACACACACACACACACACACACAGCCTCTTCCTAATATGCGTTTTTGCAATTTGCATATATGAAGAAACAAATAAAAATTAACAAACAACAAAAGAAGCGAACAAGCTAAGTTTGTTCGAAGGAGACAAAGACATTGTCGGCGAATACTGCCACTGAGTTAGCTATCACCAGACTTCACGAAAATGCAACAGAGATGACAGGCAAAAATACTGCTGGTCGATTGACAACAAAGAGCGAGAAAAGTGTTACCTCAACAGACAAAAATTCACCCGAAACATACCAACATATTATGAGTTAGATAACCGGCCAATGGTAAAAATGCAAAAATTCCACACAATTAAATGTAACAAAATTTCCATGCACATTTACACACAGAGAGATACACTGATTTACGAAATAAAACATATTCAAAAGTCAACAAATTTAAAAATTCAACACTCCGTCTCAGAAAAGGACTACCGAAAATCCACGCATATGCATCTTTTTGCGACGAACTACCAAAACTGATTTTGCGAATTATATTTTTGAATATGATTTTGAGGTGACCAAGAATATGCAAGTGGTCGGAGTGAATATCGTACGTCAATGACGTTACTGGGATGCTCCCACAATCCGAGAACAGCCATCCGATCCTAGGTTATACTCTGGCTCGATACTTCTACATCATCTCTTCCAAGGCCAGCTGAGTGGTCATTTACTTTCTTGCGGTTACCAATTACTAATACACGTCCATCCAATTATGGTCAAGGCGAGATTCTCAATAAATTATTTAACGAAAAATTAAATTAACACTACAAAGTTCCTGAATTTTCACAAAACAAAAATTTACTGGCTAGATTTATTTTTCTTCACTCGGGCAAGTATGGTAACTATCACTTTGGCGACTTTGAATCGAAACAAGAGAACCGGCTCCTTTTTGAAAACTATTCCTCATAATAGTTTCCAGTTTAATGGGCATTTGTTCGCCATCAAAGGAGCCTGGATGGAACATGATGTCTTCCTGAGAAGAATCTGCTTGGCTGAAAATATTGCAGTGAAAGTATTTAAGTTCGGAAAAAATAAAAATATCCTAAATATTACTTAACGTAAATCATTCCAAAGGCAAAAAACACTACGGTTTTATCAATGAAAAAAGAGTACTTCATACTCTTGCGAGCATTTTATACTGAGCTACAGTGCTATGAAAAGAAGCACCGCTATGGTTTAGTAATATGAAAGTTCAACTCTGCCGATGTTTTTTTTTTTGGAAAACTATGATTCGTTTCAGTGGTAAACTGGCACTTGGGCACATCAGGAAATCAAATGCACCATTAATTTGCTTTTAAGTAACCAGTGAAAGAGGGAACCATCAACAGCCTTGTCAGTGAGCGAAGGATCAACCACTCCGGCTTCTTCCCGAGTGCTTCTGCCTTTCATACAGAGCGAATACGGAAAGGGTTTTGATCTTAACTAGTGTAAGAAAAGCCTCAGGAAGCTACAAACATTAAGTAGTGCACTACAAACAACCGTGTGAGCTAACCTGCTATCCACTTTATCCTGATTATCCCGATGGTTGTTACTTCGAGAACTGATGTCGGATAGTCGAGCCTGTCGGGCAAGAAAGCGCTGTCGTTGAAGCTGTATGAAAATATGAGAGGGAATATCGGGAATCAGATAGGCAACTGTTGCTTTTACCACTGCCACCACATGCTGCAAAATAATGTCAGAAAAATTAAAGGCATATTTTGACATCACCTTCGTTGTTCTGTAAATCGCCATTACAACGTGGGGCAAACGAAAATAAGCATATGGTTCTCCCCCATTCTAAAATTTGCTTTTCCTTCGTTTTTCACAAATAAGCCCAAAGTGTTATTTAAGCCCGAAATTTTATTAATTTTAGCTACGCGTAAAAAAAACAGAAACTTGTAAATTAAAAAAAAAAATTCAATAAAAATAAAACTTAAAAATTCAAAAATTTAGTAATATCGAAATTACCAAGGCCGTCAGGACAACTAGTGCGATGCTCCGATATTAGTGCTATCGCCAAGATGCTGTAATACGCCAATCCTTTCGGCTCAGAGCTGCGTAAATCCAGTTAATGCTCACCTCCTGTTCAACTATTTGTACAACACCTTCTTTACAACCGACTGAGTAGTCGTTTTTTCTTCCTGTTAACACTTGCAGGGTACGCCAAGTCCATAGAGTGTCGGCAAAGCTTACAGCATGTTCTGCCTATCGGATTTTATTTTCGCATTTTCGTAATGGCACTCTGCACGCAGCTCATCTGATAGAAAATCTGAATGCTCATGCAGAGGCACTCTAAGCATTCTTTGCTCCATTGTTTTCTCCGTCACAGCCAGCATTCACTCTGCGTTCTTCAGTAACCACGCTTCGCATCCGTATAATACTTGCATTGAACGCGGTGATACTGATCGGATAAGCTCGGTTCTTTCCGATTCGATACTTTGAGGAAATCAAGCGTTCACTAAATTTTCTTCGGAATTTGCGTCAAACGGCAGCCCTTCTAGATGCAGCTTTCAGATAAAATACATTGACATAATATCGCTTATCACAGTATAATGGCTTCTACGCGGGATTGGAAGGCCCTGCAGAGATATGCACAGGTACATTCCAGAATACAATACTGGCACTGGATCATTGCACTAGTTGTTCAAGCGGTCTTAGCGAACTTATTACAACTGGTATGGTCTAGTGGTTGTTCGTGCAACCTTTCAACGACATTTATTCGTAAACAACGACCAGCTGGTTTCCAAGACGTGTTGAAAACTTGAAGCCAGCAATGTCCTGTTAGCAAGTGAGGGCAATGTGCCAATATGTAAGCTACTTCTGAATAAATTTTCCGTTAGTTTTTGTAACTTATTTTTTTTTTTTGATGTTTATTGGGATAACAACCTTTCATTTAAGTTATCGGCCATGTTTCACCATTACATAAAAGAAAACTACCTCAAAAATAAGCACAAATGCTAGACGAAATGTAAAAACAATCCACCACTGCATTGTAAGGCCATAGTTATCGTCACAGTCGGCCAGCGGTGCAACAGTGCATGGCGGTTTTCGATAATCACGAAACCTGGAATAAAACATTTTTATTTACTACTTATTATGGAAAAAAAAGGATTTCAAATAAAAATAAAAAAGATAAAACCGATAAGGGGGAATAAAACAAAACCAGGAGAAGCGGGGAGGGAGAGGGGAAGGGATAATTATTCGAGGGGACAAACCTGCAAACAGTAATTTGTTCACCACTGAATTTACTCCATTTCACATGAATACCAGATGCATCGTAGAAGGAAAGCGAATTATTAACATATCCATACAATTCAGTGTGATTGTACACGAGCAGATACACAAGTCTCGGTATGAAATCACTCGTAAATGCAATTATGCATGCCTACAAATCACCGTTACACCTAAGGTCTGCACTATCCGCTGTGTTTATTTATGATAACATATGTGGTTACGAAAAAAAGCCGAATAGGCCGAAAACAAACGTTTTTTGACAAACGGCTGACCAGACAATGCCTGAATATAAAATCGCGCTATAACATCAAGGCATAACTGACAAAAATCGTACAAAGAAAATCAAAGTAAGAACACGTTCTGAGTGTATAAATTCATATGCCTCCGCGCTTATTCTCCACTAAAGGCCGATTCATCCGGAAATTATAGCAGAGAAAGTGTCAAAAGCAACCACTGAGTGGTAGGTTGCCCAGATGCAAGCTGATGAGCGGTTTGACTCCTGGCTTAAACTAGTACCAATTTACCACAGACACAAGTCGTAAACGGATTAACTGCCTAAAAACAGCGCATTCGGATTCTCGACTTTCAGAACGAGAACAACAGTTGCCACGGCGTTACATCTACCAGCTTTTAACACATGTATTACTTAATAAAACTTGCTTGAAAGCGTTTTTTTTTTTGATATTCTGAATAACCTTTATTTCACCGCTGTGTTCTTTTTCTTCATCGTTCCGGCAGCTGACAACCCCTCCCCTCATACGCTTAAATTCTATATTTTCTCACCCATGCAACTCTCCAGAAACAAAATAAATCCTTCCACTTCATTAATGACTTCTCTAGTGAATGTTCGCTTAAATTTCAGATATAAATGAAAATATTACATTAACTAGCACTGCTGTTCTGCTAATCATGCCCAGGATGGGCAGCCATATGCCAATGTCCCTGGCACGCTCCGGCATCGGACGCCGAGTGGTCACAACGTATTTGTATGCATCAACGCGAATTTCAATTATATTATTGAGCAATGCAAAAAGGGGTGCCAACGGGAACGCCGACACAAAAAGCGTCACAAAACCGAATTGTATCACTGAAAAAAAAAAACACATTCTGATCATTTTCTAGAAGAAAAATGGATGAAAAAAAGGACTTATTGCACAAGCTATTCGGCAAGGTGTCTCATCGTTAAAAAAAAGAAAGTGTTCGAGGAGAGGTGATGATGTTTAATATACCCCAATGACATGTCGAAGCGCCTTAAAGCTTTACCAAATACTTCTGTCAAAACAGCCAGAAAGCTAGTAATCACCTCAGAAGACCCAGTGTCAGAAGTCAGCAGAATGACTACCAGGCAGTATTGCACTGGTCAAAGCAATTGGAAAATTCGCAGAAAAAATAACCTCTATTGGTAGACAGTGCTTACTACAAGGTATCACGTTCACACTAATAAAAACACATTCTGAATTCTGGTTTCTGCTCAAAAAACGCATTTTCTGACTGAAAGAAAACAGCTCATAAAATAAAAATCCAGGGAATGTACAGGGATTCAAAAAAAGGAGCGCCACGGAAGGTTTAATTTGGAGAAAGTGGAACTTATACATCAGAACTTACACATAATTATAAAATATCCACCTGCGCATTAAGACTTCACAGCTTGAGCTAATGGCTGGAACTTAGGCTTGCGCCATCTCCTAATTCATGCAGCAGTTGGTCAGCCCGCCACAATCGAATAAAAACTGTAGAAACTGATAAATGTGAAGAAGGAAGCCACCAGTGCTATGCTATGCGTACAGTCCAGACTCTTCTCGTTGAAATGTTAGATTTTTAAGACGAACCCATTTCCAGATATTCATCAAACAGGAACTGTTCGTATACAGGATTAAGCACGTAGTCTTGCTCCCACCTTGAAATCCCCTCAACATTACTCAGTCGATGAGACCTCTCGTAACTGATCCTTTCCCTCCGTTGCTTTTTCGTTTCCAGTATACGCAGAGAACGAAACCAAGTCATCATAACTCTGAAAAATTTCACCTTTCGACCAATAAAAGAAAAAGGGCCGCATCGGCAATTTAAAAAAATGCCTTAGTCATAATTTCAAATGGAAATATGCCAATGCATCAAAAAAAGAAAAGTAAAAATCGAATGGTCTGAAGAAATTTCTGTGAACGCCGCAGACAATTTCTCTTTTCGGGTTTTCAAGGTTACACAGCTCATTTGAATTTTTTAACAAAATAAGACTTCAAAAGTGGAGAAACAGATAAATCGGGCGGAAAGCAACATTAAGCAAGCTGTTCAAAGATACAATAAACCTTAATAAAGTGAAATAAAAGCAGTACCTTACGAAAAACTTATGGACTTGGCTCTTAACACTTAAAAACTTTCTGACGCTAATAACACTATAAATACTGCGGTAAAGATTATTTTTTTCATATTTCTACAGCGTCTACTAAATCGAGAAATTCTAAAAGATTTAAAAAACCTTGTAAACGAATGACAAAAAATCTCAGCAGAGGAAATAACTAAATCACATAAAAAAAAGAAATTGCGGTAAAAATTTAGCCAAAAACAAAAATACTAGAACTGGAGAAAAAAATTCAAAAACAGTACCGCAATTCATCTATTTTTTGGTAAAAATAACAAGCCAGATCGCTTGTGTTCTATAAAATAAAGAAACCCAGGCTAGAACGCATCAGGCGAGCCGTAGCAATCATGCGTTTTTGCACTATTTCGTGCTGTAGCAAGATCGCAAAGAATTACAGTAGCTAAAATATATTACATACTGGTCTTCAAAGTTCAGGAAGTTAAATCTGCAGCAACGTGGCATGTCAATTGTAGATGTCGGCTTCAGTGTCTCGACAAATGAAAAGTTGCTGGTGAGCGAAAAATCTTATTGGAAGAGAAATTTGGAATCTTCTACTCACACATGAGTCGAACATTCTCTTAAAATTCCAGTGTCCCAACTTTTCTTTTTTCCCAAGTTAGCAATCTTCCGCCAAAACTTTCACTTGTCCGTTAGTGAGATTCCGACGACTTTAAAAGGCTTAGGAATTTGTTTTCATTTATTTCCATTCCCATTCATTTATTTCCCTTTCCACCTGACCTTCATCCTCGCCCTCTTTCCCTATCTTTCCCCCAAATTCTGCTTGCAAAACGTCTGCGTTTTTCTCCATCCCCATTATAAAAGCACTTTGGAAACAAGCAATACTTCAGCCATTTCCCCAACTTTGAGTACACATGACAAAAAAATAGCAAGACACTTCCTTCTTTCCCCACTCATCATCAACCTCAACCCCCTTACAAATGTACGTGACTTAGCCAACTGAATAAAGATCTACACATGTATCCATTAAACCAATTTATCCCAGCCCCTTTCCCTGCTTCGAACGAATCTCTCAGCACACCACGCTTCTTGATGGACGACAGTTTGTTTTATTTACCATTACAGAAGACATTACTTTTTTGGTTCAAATGCAAAGACATTTGATTTCTGAGGCTGGATTTTTATTTTATGTAAAGTGAGCATATTTCGTGCCAGTCATGTTCGTCTAACTTGTGCTGAAGCTCGAATACGAAAAAATAGCAGGATCATCAACAGCTGTAGAATGGACTTTTCATTCGTTCACTCTGTGAGACGAGGATGAGCAGGTTTTTTATTTATTTCGGCACGTTTTATAAAAAACAGACACAACGTAGTTTAAGAAAAAAAAAAGACCGAAGGACAAACAATTAAATACAAGAGTTGAAAAAGTATTTAACTGTCGGCAAAGTAAGGACAATGACAGTAACAAAAACACATTACTGAAATCAACAACAGCCCAAAAAGTAGAACATAGGCACAAAGTAGTCAAAAAATACCGAAAAAAAAACAACCGTAAAATGATTCCAGGCGTGTTTATGTCTAAGCACTCATACGATAAAATGAAGTATTATGGCCACGAAAAAAGTTAATCACAAAAAAGCTAGGCAAAAATGAGATATCAACGACAGAGTCAAAAACAGCGAGGTAAAATTTAAACACAGGAGCGACGTTTGAGAGAGAGAGAAGTGTTTTAAGACAAATGCGAAAAAACTGCAGTTTTCGGAATGCCAGTATGGAATAGAAAATGTGGGAAAGAAGCGCTAGTGAAGCAATTCAACTTCGTCTTTAGAAAAGGGAAAACGAAGCCCTCCACAGACGGACTACAATGAAACAGAAGAAGTGACAATAAAAGCAATGAGAAATTGCTGAAAAAAGAAAGGAAGTTAGGCAAATAATGGACAGAGTAACTAAAACACCCACGCAACGAAACGACAGACTGCAGTATATTAACGGCTTGTAAATGCACTGACAGAAAACCATCAATCAATGCCTGAAATTAGGATTTCGGCAATGTGAACCACAAGAACAATGGAACTCGAATGGTGATTTCCTACATTATAATGCAGTCAAGGAGGATGCAGAGTACAGTCTTGGTTGTTATATTCCACTGGGATTCATATTTCCCATTAAAGGACAAAAAATATCATTTTGCAAGTATCGAGCAATGAAAATGAAGCCACAGGGAACCTCATAAAGTACAAATTTTATTCGGCGGTTTTCGAAAACTCTGTGCTAAATTGTAAATTCAGGAACCGCTCCCTGTACTACTCCCAAAGGACTAGACTCCCAAGTCATGCAAGGAACATTTTTTACAAAGTTGTAAAGGCAGTAGCTGCTATGGTATTCCCGAACAATTTAACCTTCGACTATAAGGGAAGAATTAGGGTAAAGAAGCAACTGCTGGCCGAGCGCATGAAGATATGAATGAATAGTAGAAAAAAGTCCCAGATATGTTATACAGATATGAATTAACAATGCTGAAGTTGGCGCTAAATAACTACTACACATAACCTAGTGAGAGTGAACCAACATATGTTGTCCTGCAGGAGTTTTCTACAATCGTGCTGTTTGGAACTGTACCGTCGCAAATTATTTAGCTTTTTGGCTTATTCAGTGCTGGTTAATGAGATGTGGTTTAGTCACTGCTTTTATGCTGGATCCAGACCGGTTCATGAAAACTTGTCAATGAAGTATACGCACCACATCTAACTTAAAATGAGATCTAAGGTTGTATTTGCAGCTGTTGTTGGCACGCTGACTTTCCGAATCATTAGCCCCGACCGTTCTACCATTTTCGTGAAAGTTTGGTTACGATCTCCGCTTATATCACGATTGAAGCCTCCCACTACAAGCTTTCGGCCATCTTCCGCACAAATTTCTGTCAAAAAAAATTCGGACGCTGTCGTCTGCGACTCCTGGGCTAGCATATACACTGGCGATGAGAACACTGTCCAATTTGACAACCGCTGCATAAAATCCATTTCCATTTTGTTCGTTCGTTATGCCGCCAGCATCTCACACCTTTCCTAACACTTTTCCCGACACTAGGCAACATGCTCCTCCGGGCGTTCTGTCACTTCGTGATACTGTCCGAAACCCGCTAACAGTAATTCGGTCTCCCGGCAATGTCCAATTCTCACCCAGTAATATTACATCGCTGGCTGTGAAAACTTCATCTTTTGCAATCTGTTGACTGTGCTTAGTGAGGCTTTGGACGTTGTGATAGATAATTTGAACAGAGCTGCGTGTTGAACGCAAAAATTTGAACGATGG